CTCCCCCTCTCCTTTTCCTTCGCTCTCGAGAGCGGCCAGGGCAGGGATACTTTTACGCCGCCCTTGCTTGCCCGCGCGCGGCACGGGGATTAATCTCGTTACGGAGAGTATAATCCGATTCTTCTTCCTCGTCCTCGCCTCGATAACAGGTCGAACGAGGGCCAGGCGAAATTGTTATCATTATCGTGGAAATTTCATCGCCGGCCTGGTTAATTGATTCCCGTGGAGGAAGAAAGTATCCATTGGGGAGCTGGCAACTCGATGGGGGACTGTGATTGAGTGGGACAAGTGCTGGGGGGTAGTGCTGGTGACACGTGATGGGAATGGAAATAATTCTCTCTCTCTTGAGAGAGAGAGAGAGAGAGAGAGAGAGTCTATCTTGGCAACCTTGATGCGTTCCTGCGGTATCGTGAAACGCTTCGTACAGGGTGGATTTGGGATAATTGTTTAGAATTGGGTGGGATAGGATATAGAGCCGAAATTTGTTTAACTGCGTATCAATCTTTCCATTCTATTAGTAATTATTTCTTTCTAATTTCTCGAGAATAATAAAGAGGAATGATGAAGGGGTTAAATGTTTCGAGGCTCGTGAAATATGAAGACACATTGATCGATCGATTCTTTTCTAACGGAGAAGGTAAATTTTAGATTAAAAAATGAATCAAAAGTTTAGGCTTTGCGTGGATTTGGGATAATTTAGTTTAGAATTGGCTATCGAAATTTGTTTAACTGCGTATCAATCTTTCCATTCTAATAATAATTATATATTTATTTTTATATATTTTTATATATTTTTATATATTTTATTTTATAATTATATATTTTTCTTTCTATAATTTCTCGAGAATAATGAAGAGGAAAGATGAAGGGATTAAATGTTTCGAGGCTCGTGAAATATGAAGTTGGTCGATCGATTCTTTTTTAACGGAGAAGGTAAATTTTTAGATTAAAAAATGAATCAAAAGTTTGGGCTTTGCATGGATTTGGGATAATTTAGTTTAGAATTGGCTGATCGAATGATGATTAGGGTGAGATGGGATATAGAGTCGAAATTTAACTTAACTGCATATCAATCTTTTCATTCTAGTAATAATTATTTTTCTTTCTGTAAAATGAAGACATTATTCCATTGATTCTTTTTTAACGGAGAAGGTAAATTTTTAGATTAAAAAAATGATTCGAAAGTGAAGTTTGGGCTTTGCGTGGATTTGGAATAATTATTTAGAATTGAACGATGCTAAGGTGAGATATCGAAATTTGTTTAACTTAATTGCGTATCAATCTTCCCATTTTATTAGTAATTATTTCTTTCTAATTTCTCGAGAATAATAAAGAGGAAAGGGGTTAAATATTTCGAGGCTCGTGAAATATGAAGATGAACGTTGATCGATCGATTCCTTTTTAACGGAGAAGGTAAATTTTTAGATTAAAAAATGAATCAAAAAGTTTGGGTTTTGCGTAGATTTGGGATAATTTAGTTTAGAATTGGCTGATCGAAATTTTTTTAACTATGTATCAATCTTTCCATTCAAATAGTAATTATTTTTCTTTCTGTAATTTCTCGAGAATAATAAAGAGGAAAGACGAAGGGGTTTTTAGATTTAGGTAAATTTTTAGATTAGAAATGAATCGGAAGGCTTCACTTTTTTAAAGAGCACGAAGAGAAGTTGGTTTCGATTCCATAGAAATGGCGGAACAGTGGATCACTGTGGAGAAATTTCCAGAAAGGGCACATATGTCGGTCGAAGATTCTAGAGAAGTTGAATTTGGATCGTAGAACTGCAATTAGGACCATGTGTTTGTTAATGGCGCATATCACGGCATCCTAATGGGATGTTTGTTCAAGATATCCCCCGCTGCGAACTTCTTACCCCCCGAAAATCAGTTTTTGCACGCCAACATTCATGCACGCCCCGATCCTCCGTTTAATTTATGCCCGTCTTATTTAACAGACCAACGCTGTTCCAATCCACCATTCATATATATATATATATATTATAAAAAATAAATGGACAACAATATTCGGCAAATTTCGAGGAAATTTGAAAAGAAAAAGAAAAATCGGTAAAGTCTAAATTATTTCACATCGTTCCTCGAAGATCCTCGAAACGAGAGAAGAAAGGGGCAAACAAATTCCAGTTCCATTGAAACTAATAAGCCAAAAGAACAAACGGAACGGGGCCCTTTACGCGGACTCCAAACTCGCCCCTTTTCAAGGGGTTAACGAGCAAGCTCGGAGCTTTCGCCGCTTCAAAAGCGTTTTGTCGCTGCGGATAAACGCGACATCGTTTCAAGATGAAAGCGGGGATTTGAAGAAGGCCGAGAAAATGGACGGTCTAAAGAGAGAAGCGAGCAGCGCGGAGGGGGCAGTTTTTACAGCACTTACAGAGAGAGAGAGAGAGAGAGAGAGAGAGAGAGAGAGAGGCGACGTGGCCGCGTTTCGTACGAATTCAGCGAAAAAAGAAATGGCGAGGGGGGAGTCCTCCTCCTCCTCCTCCTCCTCCTCCTCCTCCTCCTTCTCCTTCTCCTCCTCCTCGGGGCCCCTTTGATCCTGGAAATTAGCTTACAGTTTATTGCATTTTTTACAGCGCCTTTCATCTCCGGAATCTCACGCGCACGCCGGTTAAAATTTCTCATCAATATGCAGGGAGGGCGAGAGCGAGGAGGAAAGGGAGGGGAGGGGAGGAGAAGGAAGGGAGAGAGAGAAAAAAAGAAGGAGGGGAAAGATAAATGTGGAGTGAACATGATCCACGAAAAGAGGAGCAGGGAGGAAGGGATCAACGGTGGAGATGAAGGAAAGCTTTGACCGAGGAGGAGGAAGAGGAGGAGAAAGGAGAGGAATCCCTGTGGATGAAATCCGACGACTTATCAGGCCGAGGGAAAGAACTTCTTTATTGAATTACGCGTGGCAACGATGTAGGGAACGGTGAACTGTTCCGATGATCGCGAGTTGAGCTGGCGAATTTTCGCGCCAGGATTTTCGCTCTCCATGGTTTCGTTCGCGATATAGGATGGCAAGAAGGATTTCGAACTGGAATATGGAATATAAGTATATGTGTATGGCGAGTGATGGTTAATTCTTTCGGTTGAAAATATTTATATACGATCCGATTACAAGGGAGGAGGAAGGAAGGAAAGGAGTGGAAACACGGATAAAAGTGAAAAGGAGAAAAATTGAAGGGAATGACGGGAAAGAAATGTTGAAAATTCTCGTTCCCTTGCGGAACGGAAGGCGAAGGCGGGTATAAATATAAATTTCAACGTGTACACAAACATAAATGTCACAACTGAACGTCAAATTGTGGATATTCATAACAGAGAATGTTCGTGTGATAAGCCATACTTCGTGCCTGACTGTACAAGCGACAACCTTCGACCGTGGTATTATAAGTATTCACCGTACGCCGCCATTCAGTAATTTTTACAACCGTTCCAGGAACGCGTCAACAAACACCGTGATAAAATTAAATCACGACGTTCCGCGATTGAGTCTCGAGATAGGTGTAAGGTAAAACGTAGAAAACGACACCGTTTTTCCTTGAACCGACTCTCCATTAACTCTCCATTAATTGAAACTACTGGTTACCTCGGTATTCGCGTTGCGCGAAAATCGCGAAAAGAAACGGCTGAAGGGTGTAATTTCAATCGATTCGCAACAGGCGATGCGCGCGTGTGGTTGTTCGCCTCGTGGAATGAATGTTGCCCGAGGAATTACAGCCCGAGGGTGTGAAAGAAACGCGCGACAACCTATTACTAACAGTTTACACACGGTTAAGAAGAAGTTTGTCGAAGCGTTGGAATCTCTCGAATTGATTAGAAGCCGAGTGAGGTGTGAAATTGTCGTCGATATTTTAGCAAGGATTTATTGGACGCTCGATGAATACGTACTGGTATTTAGGTCTTTATGCGATGTTTAATTATTCGCGGAGAGCCTTCATTATTCCTGGAATCGCAGATGCATCTTTGTAGCCTTTGTTGCGCTCCACGGTGTTGTGCGCGTAATGGGTGAACCAAGTCTCACGATCATTTCCCTGATAGCGCGAATGTGTCAGCCATCTTGCCAAACCAATCCTACAATTTCGATAATTCCCTTTCTCGGGTCCCAAGTTAAAAAAAAGATCCTGAGAACCTTTCTTTTCTCATCTCTTCGGAAAGTTCGAAGTTTCGATCGTGGAAAAAAAAAAAAAAGTCCAAGTTCTGTCGATTTTGTTCCAGACCCACCACAGTATATTCCCCATTCGATTAACGAAACTTGGATCGAGATATGCGAGCTTCTTCATCGACCCTGGACCGTCGCGCCCGAGAAGAGGATCCTTCTCGTCGTTTAGTCATCCAGCCCGCGGCTACGGTGCTCTACGTATCCTCGAAGAAAGAGGAAGAACGCGAGGCAGATGCAAGCGAGAAGGGAGCGAGAAGAGGACGAGAAGAAAAGGAACGGAGGTGAGATCGCAATCGAGAGAGCCGACAGGCCACGACATCGTCGACGAATCTCGAGTTCAAGTTGGCTCGACCGGTTGGTGATGTCACTCAATATTTCCGTTTTCGAAGAACACGAATTGCCGCAAATGACGTCAACGCACCCTCCTCCTCGCCGCTTGTTGTTGCACGAAACGTCGTACCTGTCGCGCTCTCCTTCTCTCCGCGTTTCTCGGGGGATAGGGACAGGTAGCCCGAGCGGTTCACTGCAATTAGCAGGGGATCGCGGGGGATAAGGGATTGGAGTTTCGAGGAAATTTATGGGGCGGCTTGATCTTGGTAATTCCAGGCGTTTATTAAAATGCTGTACCTGTACGGGGTGACGTAATTGGTCCTGTGACGCGCATCTTTCGACTCGCCGATCAGGTTTCAGCATCGTCCCTGCGCCTTCGGATGATGAGACGCGTTTAAGTTTGGAACACGACCAAGCCTGGAAGTAAATTTTCGATGATTTTTATTTTACCATAAAATTACCGCTACGAAAAGCTATCTTTCGTTCCTTTGCTGAAATTACGCGCGTAATTTTAAATCGCGTCCAAATGTGGATATCTTTACATTTCTTACATCATCGATGTACGCAAGATAACAATGTAAACAATAGAATTTCGAAGACCTGAAGTTTTTCCTTCATTCAGAGGACAACAGTCGCCAATTAGTCACAGAAGAAGAGTCGACGAGTATACACGATGGCCGGTCGCTTTCTTGCGAGATAACGACAAGTTGAACGACACAGAAGCGCGGCGAGACCGGATGTCGTCTCGCTCGCTTTGTTTCCTCTTGGGCGGGCAGGTCGAGGGAAAAGACAGGCGAGGACATTGTCTGACGCGTAGCAATGTCAAGGCCCGTCACTGACATCTACCAGGGTGTTTTCTACGCGAGAGGAAACGCGGTGAAACAAGCGTACTAATAATAGAGAATGCGAGATCGATCGGTTCATCCGCGCGTGAAAAACGATCATTTTCGATGAACGACGTGTCTTTGCACGGGAATACATCTGACTGCTCGACGCTTGATTTGTTTCATCGAGTTATCTATTGCGATTACGCGATCCGATCAAATTGAATTAGAGGTTAGGTCGACGCCATTGGCGAAAGCGAACGTGTCACGCGAATGATTCGTAAAGATCGTAAGGAAATTGTTAGAAGTTTTTGCAACGTTTGGAAACTAGAATAGAATGGAATTGTATGCAAATTAGAATTGTTTGCATTTAAAATAACGTGATTATACCATTAAAGTATGATTTCTAGACGCCTTCTTGATTTGAAAATAGTTGGAGATGCATTGAAATTGGATTAATGGAGGAATTTTGATAATAATTGAAATTAAATGTTGAAATTGACAAAGGATTTGAGAATAATTGGAATATTGAAGATCAAGATATAAATAAATATAGTTGAAACGGATTGGTCGCGCATGCAGTTGAACAAAAAATCAAATAAGAATCTTTTCCTGTATTGTTCAGCCTGTAAGAATTTCCATGGGTTGAACCGAACGAACCTTTCAAGAAGAGAGGTATATTCTCAGTTCGACCAAAAATATCCTAATATTTGAACAGTGATATCATCGATTGCAAATAATTACTGAAACACCGACAAACGATGCAACGGATACCATTGTATACTACACATGTTTGTATTTTAATTTAAAGCGTTCGTTTTATCCGGATGATGAAGATGGATCGATTATTTCTTGCACAATTCATGTGACTAAAAAACTATCGTATGCGACAATCAAGATCAAATTAATAATTCTATTTAAAAAAATTTCATAAGAAAGTCAAAGTCGAAAATTCCAGAGTTGAAAAGAATTCTGTATATTCATGATATTACGCATTTCTTAAGTAAGTAGTAATCAATTAGAAATATATACGTACTTTTCCTTGTTAGATCAGTTTCGAATTACATAATATCTATAATTGGCTAATAAAAAATATTCTATGCATCCGCATTGTTCATATCAGGCCTGTCAACATTCTTAAACACAATTATCTTCATCATTTAATCATTTATGTATATTAATCTAAACATAATCTTCCTCCAATCGACCAATTCAATTCATCTCGAAATCAGAAACTATCGTGATCTATTAACAAATGAACTCATGTTTATCTTAAACATTTTTCAACTACTTTCGACATTAAAAATTTACAATATATCATAATGATTACCTTTGTATCATATCTTCATCTTCGTCTATTTTGTTATTAATCTAATCTTATCCAATCTGTCAACGATTTCGACTCGTTTCAAAATCATAATCCATAAACGAATGAATTCATCTTTACTAACCTAAAATCAACAAAGAATGCACAAATTTTCCAACTGTCTACCACACCTGCAACACCAAAAATTTACATTTACGGTACATTACAATAATTTACAACTATCGTTATACCTCTCTCACGATCTACACCAACGTGTGAATGAAACGACGAATATCTTAGGACGAGGAAGATCGAAGAGAAAAAGAAGGTGTCGCGTGACGCGTCCACGACGCACGTATCTCGCAAAGAACGACGTGCCTCGCGATGATTCACGCTTGCTAGGACGACGCAGGTGGAACGTACGAGCGCGCACGTCCTCTCGAGAGAAGCGGCGAGGCTCGTACACGGCGTCGATGACGACGCCGATCAGCACGACGACCGAGATGGAAACAGTCTAGGGTATCATCGTCTATAAATACTCTAATAGCCTCGGGCAAGGACGTCGTTGGTTACGGAGGATGATCCTAGACGACGTTGGCTTCGCTGCGACGGTGCTGACCTCTTCGAGCGGATCGACGCGCGCCGATTGGACGCCTGCTCTCCGCTAATTGGCGTGTACGGTTGTACGGTGGAACAAGAATCTCTCTAGGGACCTTTGATAATCAGAGGTATTAGCTAGAGGATTTTAGAATCCGTGTGTAAAGGATGGCTTGTGGGGAAGCGGCGTAGTATTATCGAAGCGGATAATGAGCTCTGAAGAATATGTGGAAAGAATCCGTGACCAGTCTTGGGTTTCAAACAGTATTCGAGATTGAAGAGTAACGGATCAATTCCGGCAATTCATATTTCCGGTTGTGATGAAGCGATAGGATGAAGAAAGAAGATGGGATTCGTCTTCGTCGATGATATTTGGTTGGTCGTTGATTTTGTAGATTTTTTTTCTTTTCGTAAACTATGGAATTTCTGTACCTGAATTTCCATAAAATGATAGGATACTAGAGCTAAAAGAATTAAATTGCCATGAAATTCAAAGTATCTGACAATTTCAATAGTAAAATTTTTATAATAATTTAAGTGAATTGTACCTGAATTGTCACCGAATTCAAAGTATCCGAGTTTCTACGTTAACCTAAAATCTATCTGAGTTTGACAGAATTCCATAGTATTACGTCATTTAGATAATGTTATAGAATTTCAAAATACTTGAGTTATCACAAAATTCCAAAATATCTGAATTCTTATAGCAATCCAATATATATAGCTAAATTATCGTAGAATTTCAAAGTATATTTGAATTCTAACAGGATTCTAAAGTGTTTTTCGAAAAAATTAAATAGCATCCTTCTTCTTGCAATTAAATAAAAGTTTAATTATAAACTTAGATTTAATCTATTTTTATTTGTTCTTTTCATGCAATATTTTGAAGAACATCATGAACGTTAAAAAAACGAGGAAGCTTAACGATCAATGTAGTTCTTGAATGAGAAACGACTCGAAACTAGATAATGGATTTGATAATAAAGATCCTTGGATTATGTATGCAAAGTACGAGTTCCTTAGAATGCTTAACGAGTTGGGGTTGCTCTGATAGAAATTGAAACATTGGAGAGGATCCAGCAGAGAATTGAAAAGAGTTAATGAGATGGTCGCCTGATAGTTCCTAATGAATTGATTGCAGTTCAAGCACGTCCTCGCGATAACGTGTGAATTTGTAAATCTCTTTCTAATAGATCAGAGGAAGAGATTAACAACAGAGATTTGTGCGAGTGATAGAAGAGATTGTTAAAGAATTAAAATATTCCTCGTTTACTACTATATTATAATTGAAATACATATTTTAACTTTTAACGATTATTATGTACATTTTTATTCGAATATTTGTACTATTCTATCAGAAAAAGTACTTAAATTCTCATAGAATTTCAAGTTATCTAAGTTTCTATAAAAATTCTAAAGTACCGGATATCTGATATTTCTCATAAAATCATCTTTCAAAATCTTTCTCAGAATCTCAAAATATTATTTAAACAGTTTCAAAATACATACTTAAACTTCCATAAAATTTCAATTTTCCTAAATTTCTAAATATCTGAGTTAAAACAGAAATCCAAAATTTCTACATCAAAAATTGCAACTAACATCATAATTCCAAAAACTTCTTTTCGAAAAAGTCAAAAAATCAAACGAAGAATTAGAATTAATTTCAAGAATTAATCTTATTTGTGTTCTAGATTTCCATGTTTCACAAAGAATATCCTCTTTAAATGGTATCAAGGCATTTCAACAACGATTCCTCGGAAATATTAATTTATACATAATCGATGAAACGTTCCTCCACCTCCAATCGTTCAATACTTTTTTCCCAAATGTTGTTAAAGTAATTAAATGAAATCAAAGATCGATAAAACATAGAAATACGTGAATTAAAGTTCAAAATTGTGGACGTAAATCGGTGAAAATTACTTCGAACGATTACTACCATCGCTTATTATAGCTGACGTAATTCATGGGCTATGTTTCACTCGCGACAACAACAACAATAACAACAACACGAGTTAGAAGCCTCCACACGCTCTGTTACCAGCATGTTTATAATCTTTTATTACCATTGGATGATCGGTTCTCGGTCGAGCTTAGATGCTAATTTGTTTAAATTTGCATCTTTATCATCGTGAACATAATAAACTGAAGAAATATTGGTAATAGTTGTCTTTTGATTTTTCATTCACTGTAATAATGCGATGAATTCATTTTTTTATTATTGTGCACAATACAAAGCATGAATTATGGCGAATGAATCGTTTGCATTTTTTGCTTGTGCAATTATATAATTGCAACGCTCATTTTAAATCGATTAATAATCCTCGAAACGAGGGACACGTAGTAAAAAAATTATTTCTCTGAAATCGCAACGAGGCTTGGAAGGCTTGATTAATTGTAATATGATCAACATCATTTTGTTAGCTCATGATTGATTCGCCAAAATCAAGGTATTTTTTTTTTTTTTTAATCTTTCGGTTTTTATCAACATCCGTGAACAAATTCTTAAATGTTTCAGAACTTGATTAGATTGTTAAAGAAGATTCGAGAAGGAACATTTATTGCGCGAAAGGAAATGTACAGTGATCTAAATCAATCGAAGCCGGCTAATCCTTATTTTCTAAATCTGTGAAACAGCGGAGAATTCCATTGAAATCTCTTCGACCATCATCGATCAAGCGTAATTGGGGAAAAAACGAAGCGGAGAACGTTGGAGGAAGCAAGGGATCGATTAGTCTGTGATTGAGTTACAGGAAGGCAGTCGTTTATTGGCATAATCGATACCTTACTGGGTCTAATAAATACATCCTTGGGAAACCTCGAGCTCGGTATATTCTCTCGACAAGGTTTTTTTTTTCTTTCTTTCTTTCTCTTTCGCGAAATCCATGATTCGAAGAGGAAAAATCATGTTAACACCAACGTTGGATTATCCTCATTTCGAGGCATAATCGACGTTCAAAGGTTGTCATCTGGTTAAACATGGTCTCGTATCGACAACATTTATACGTATTTTACGTACGATATATTAGCATCGATATTTAAAAATAACGAAAGAAGAAGAGACTTAAAAATTATGAGAAGGAATAAGTTGTATATATCGGGTTGAAAAAATTCGAATAGAGAGAGAAAAAAAAAAAAGAAAGAAAGAAAGGAGAAAATAATAATAAATAAAAGACGACGATTAAAAGTTGTCGCGGTGTCGTTCCATCGATATTTCGTTATCAATCGCAAAAGAAAAGAACAGTGGCAATAGATTATCAGTGAATAACCATCTCATTGCCACCGTATACGCAGCGCACAAACGACGTATGATCGTCGACTGATCGGCAAAACATTCACGCCGACAATCTCGCCGCTGTCGAGGCATGCAGAGGAATGTTGATGCTGTGCTGTCATCGATAAGTGGACACGCATTTATATTTAAACTACATGTAATAATATGAATACGTCGATGTTGGTCTGACGTCGTTCATATGCTATTAACCTTTTTGCCACTGGACGCGTATGTACATACATACATATGTATAGCTGCATGTATACCTCGTTAAACATCGACTAACCATTTGCTAAAAAACGTGCAAATATTTTCCATAAAATAATTTTTATTTTAATACACGAATTATAAAATAATTAACATCGGAATAAACAGATTGGCTTCAGATTATTAACAAAAAAAAAAAAAAGAAATATATATATATATATATATACATATATATGTGTAATAATTTATTTTTAGACGTATAGAATTATACGTCTAATTATTTGTATAATTCTAATTTTTAATCCCAATCGAATTACAACGTTAATTATACAAAATATCTCCGATGTAAATATTCTAAACTTCCTCCTCGAATACCAAAAACACTTTCAGTCCCGAGAGTACCATAACGAAAGGGTTAAGTGGCCGACAGCCTTTAACCATTAACACTGCGAATATTCGCTCTTTCTCTTTCCATCTATATGTATTGCGAAATCGAGTTTTACTCGTCCATTTGGTTCGAAGCAGAAAGCAACGTCCTCACGTGCCGTCTTTAAACTCTCGGCCATCGACCGTCTGGCGAAAATATAGTAACGAAGTGCGAAAAGAGGATGTTGAAACAGCAGGTCGAGAAATTCGATCTAAGGTTTATGTACCTTGTCGAAACTTCGATCAGCCGCTTCCTCATCTCCTCTTGGAGAGTTTCAAACTTGACTTCTCGTCAAATTACCACACAGTGATAACTATGCCGTAAAAGAAAACGAAATCGCTTATGAATTTTGAACGAGTTATTAGTATAACCGTTGGGGACGGATATCGAAGAGTTAATCAATCAACTTGTTCAAAATTTTGTCAAAATTTTTTCTATATCTAAAAATAATAAATTCGATTGACACTGTTCGTAAATTTCTCTTCGACAAATCTATTTATTATTCTTCTAACTCTTAGAAGATTGGAATAGAAGATTGGAAAACAGATTTCAAAAATAGAATTTTTTCAGAATTCCTCCTCGTCCGTGGATAGAGAAACAGATTCGAAATTTGAGAATATTCTAATCACCGTTCGAGTCGTATCCAACAAGTTTCTGTTATGCGAGATCACTGCGATCTCTTACATTTTGCTACACGCTGATAATACACGAGTACCAGTTGCGAAGATTAATGTCATCCACCACGCGAAATCTATTCATCTGACGTTCTCTATCTACAATGTCGGAGAAGTTGCAATGTTGAAACTCGGAGATAAGATAAGAAGAAACGAGAATTGTCCGACAATTTGCCGATTAAGATGACAAATATTTCTCAGTTTAAAATCAGTCGAGGAGACTTGATACGATTCATACGAAATCTCGAAACGAAAAACATAGAAGATGCGTAATTGTACATACAACCTATGGTATTATCTCCATTTTTAGAATATTTTAGAACCTTTTAGAACGAAAATTCTTCGAGCAATATTGAAAGTTACACAATGATTACGATATTCGATGCATTGTTCCTTTCGTTTAGAGCCTTAGGATTCATTTTATCAATACATTATTGTCCAAATATTGATATTGCATTCTGATCAATTACAAATATTATAAAAGATATAAATTCAGGATGAATATTTCGATTAATTCATATAAATGGAGCCTCATTTTATTTTCTAATAATATATATTCATATTAGACGAAATATATTTTATTGTTCTTATAAATTAAAAAGAGTATGAGGAATTGGAATTATAATTTTATTATTATCAATAGCAGCAGTATTTATAGGATATGTATTACCTTGAGGACAAATATCATATTGAGGTGCAACTGTAATTACTAATCTTCTCTCCGCAATTCCATGTATTGGAAATACAATTGTATTATGAATTTGAGGTGGAGAGGTCGAGAAACTTGAGAAGGTAGAAAATTAAGAGGAAGCAAGATCGCGATCTTGGAAGATTGTTTTAACGTAATTCGATTGGTTTCGTTTGAAGTCTTAGGAGGAATGGTGTTTAATAGATGATCCTAAAAAAGAAATAACGATCGGCGGATATACATATATCCCGGCTCTCGTTTTATCTTTTTCACCCATGAAAAAGTTAACGCCTCGAACTTTTACAAACACTGGCCGGCCGGATAGGATCCTAAAAACTAGCAGACGCGATCCCAAGTCAAATATTGGTTCGTTAACGTATCAACCACGGCTTTTTCCGCGATAAAGTTCGTTCACCTTCGACGTACGTTCATCCCTCCCCCTTTCATAGTTCATCAATTACAATCGGAATGAAAAGTACCCGCGGCAAAAGTGCGCGCGTTTCCTTTCGGTGAAAATGAAAACGCATGGACAAGGGCGAATATGGTTATGGTTGGCAGCCTGGGGCGATGCGATAACAGAGTGCGCCCATAATTCTCGATCCTGCCTAGGTGGCGTGGAGTGTTGATTTAACGAGAGGAAGATGTCGGCGAATTGGTTATAGAAAAATTGGTGTGAAATTAATCGACGCAATTTGTCGACGGTTATTTTCTTAATTTACTGTTACGTTCGCGAACAAATCGCTATAATCCAGTCGTATCTGGCCGTGATGGGATTGAGCGCGGTGGTAATGCAACGTTGTTCAGCCTTGGCGAAGAAAGAGAGGAAGGTGAAAGTACAGTTAGCCGAGTCGTTAGAGTCGTTTTAAAAGGAATTAGAAGTAATTTGAAATCGTATCGATTCGCGCGAGAATTTTATGAAACAATCGCGTTGAGATAAACAAACACAACGCGTATCAAATAATTTTTTATTTTTTTAATGTTTCATAGGAGAAGAAGAAATAACGCATCGCGAAAACATTTCCAAGACGAGGAAGAAATATTTTTCTCTCGAGGATGTTTTCGAATCCAATGAATTCCTCTTCTCGAAAATGGTTTGGTACGAGAGGCGCGTCCTTCGAATCGATCAGTTCCCCACCATCAGTTGCACCTGATCCCAAAATAGAAGCCGATGAACCGTTGTATCAATACAACTTTCTGACGATCGAATTTTCGAGGAATTTCCTCTACGATCTTTCTAGGAGATGTCGTCGACCCTTGGAAACCAATCGGCCAATCCCTAGGTGGTTTCTGTGCTGACGTGGAACGTCCACGTTCCTTTTTCCAGGCGTAGGCGAGGAGGGAAGAAATCGAAAGGACCAAGTGCGTGGCCGCAACGTTGAACTCTGGAGGAGGACTGGAGGAGGGTAGGGAAAAAGGGTCAACCACCTTGTCCGACCAAGAAGAATGCTGATTACCCTAATGGTTGTCCAGGCTCGAGGTATCGTGCGCTCTTTCTCGGCCTTTCGTGGCGCAACGTCGTTGAGTTTAGAATTCTTCACGTGGATATTTCCGATTCTTTTGCCGTCTCGGTTAACGTACCTCTTAACGATAAGACAGAGGCCAATTAGGTCGGAATGATTGTCCGCCTGGTTTCGATCTTCTCCCTTTACTATACACGCTATTCTCGTTACGAATTTCCTTACTTCTGCTCTTCTTTTCAAAAACAAATTCCAGAAGAATAGATTTCCAATAATCGTTAATCTTAAGATCTTAAGAAATCTAAGAAATATCATCGCTATTTCTTTTTCTAAATTTTCGATTCCTTACAAAGATTCCCTATTATTCTTCGTACAAATTTCAGAGAAAGTGAAGATAAGGCTGTCGTCCAGATCTCATTGTCAGGAGATCAAGGATGGAAAACACTCTTTCGCATCGACTCGATTTAAAAATCCAACAAATTCCAAATCTTCTATTCATTTAAAATTATTTTTCGATCTTTCGGAAACTCGTTATTTCTTCTTCTAATAAATTCTATAAAAATAGATTTAAGATGGAAAAGATATACTTTTCAAAAATTCACGTCATTATTCTTTAACAAGTTTTCTTTAACAAGTTCTAAATCATCGATTCGCTACAAAAATTCCCCATTATTTTTCTTACAAATTTCAGAGAAGATGAAGATAAGACTATCGTCTCATTGCCCCGAAATCAAGGATGGAAAATACTCTTTCGCATTAACTCGATTCAAAAATCCAACAAATTCCAAATCTTCTATCCATTGTCCGATTTAAAGTTATTTTTCAATCTTTCGAAAACTCTTATCGTTATTTCTTCTTCTAATAAATTCTAAAAAAATAAATTTAAGATAGAAAAGGTATATCTTTCGAAAATTCACATATCGTTTCCTCTAACAAGTTCTAAATCATCGATTCGCTACAAAGATTATTTTTCATACAAATTTCAGAGAAGAACTCACATATTTTCCTCTCAGTAATTGTCCACGTCTCATTGAGATCAAAAATAGAAAACATTCTTTCCCCTCGCACATCGACTCGATTCAAGAATCCAACAAATTCTAAATCTTCTATTCATTGTCCGATTTAAAGTTATTTTTCAATCTTTCGAAAACTCTTATCGTTATTTCTTCTTCTAATAAATTCTAAAAAAATAAATTTAAGATAGAAAAGATATATCTTTCGAAAATTCACATATCGTTTCCTCTAACAAGTTCTAAATCATCGATTCCATCGCTACAAAGATTATTTTTCATATAAATTTCAGAGAAGGACTCACATATTTTCCTCTCAGTAATCGTCCACGTCTCATTGAGATCAAAAATAGAAAATACTCTTTACTTCTTACAAGTTTCCAGATCTCACTGTGAGATCAAGGATGGAAAACGCGGTTTCCAAAAATGAGAAATTGCCGAATGACGAATTTCTTGGAAATGGGGCATGATCGAATCTCGAGCAAACGTGACGTCACCGCCACGATTCCCGCGCGGCCGTGTCTCGGATCGGATCCGGCGATTGTCCCCGTGGAAATGAACCGTTAGCTCCGAGGAATCGATTCCTCGCGCCTGATTTACGTCCTTGGCCAATGGTTGCACGGCGCATCGTTGCTTGTCCGCCATTTCGAGCGGATTGTCGCGCGAAATAAGTTAATCATAATCGTAATTGAAATATTTCTTGTCCAAACCTTCACTCCGCGTGGTTTATTTATCAACCTGTATGAATTATGGAGACATCCTCTCTGCGCTTTGCCTTTTATTTATTAACCCTTTTCGTTCGTTGGATATGCCAACAAGGCTGATGCACATCGTCGCGAGTGAATACAGTTGCGCGCCAG